CTAGGCGAGATAGAAAAATGCCGACCGTCCTGGATGAGAATATCCCTTGTAAAATAAGGCTATATTGAATTCAATGGGTACATGGGACCTACTCATATGATTGTGAAAAAATTCAACTATTATTCTTACATCATTTTAAATGAAATAGAATGAATACAGTTTTATAATCCAACTATTGTCCTTACGAAGATTATTATGGGGTAGAAAAAGTCAGATCTGCCTTATGATCGACTGATACCGGTTAGAATCCTCAATTTGTTGAGGAAAATACTCATCAATCATTTCTTAAACCACTTTAACTAAACTAGGGCAGCTAATTTATTATCATGGAATTGAGGATACTGTCGAACCATACTCATATCGTAAATTCAATGGCATTGTGAACCCTAAACTAATAATACCATCAGTCATCAACGCACCTCAAACGACCTAGATAAACTTGAAAGCATAGTTAGCATACTTGAAGATGGACATGTGACTTTGTACCTTTTGCCACAGAAATTATACAAGTGGTGAAATCCTGAGTCTTGTGTATACCGTAGTATTTACTGGGCTCTGGTGAATCAGGCAGTTGTGAGCAGACGTCTTTCTACGTCGAAGAAAGCAATTCACTAAACTAAACCATCCTCAAATCTGCAAATCTCAATTGGGCATCCAATGATTTGCCCATTTTGTTCACCTCTCGGGTTATCAAATTCTGTAGACCAACAGCATGGATTGAGGCTTTTAGAATTCGTCACCTGACGAGACTGTCTCCACCCTATTTGGCGACTCTTTTGCCGCTTTAATCCGCCCTCCTCCGTGTCTGCGAATCGGCCTGGCGGCAGATGTCGTGTTCACCAGACGCCTGGGCTTTGGTTGCTGGCTCCGTGACAAGTTGACAACCAGCACGTGCACTCGGCCACTCGGTCAATCCGACAATTGTTCGGCTGACAAATGGTGTCTTTGGCAGCGGCGAATTGTGGCCGAGGCTGCTCGTCGCGTTGCGGGGATCGGTGATTTGACAATATTGGCGCTCGTTTATGAGCCAGCGCAAGTCTTGTTGCAGGTGCAGGTCCTCAGCTCTGACAGGGTTGCACTCGAGACCCGGAGAGGATTCCGCCTCAGATACACACGAGACGGGAACGTGCTGCTACAGGCAGCCACGAGTGTGCACATGCAGCCTATACTTGTTGTAATGACGACGACAGGATGAAATGGCTGGAGGGAGGGGGAAGGCCAATTCTCGGCATTCTTTGTGGGGTCTTTATCAGGTCGTCTCAGCTCTTCGCTCGTCTGAACACAACAATTCGTTCATTGTCCCTCTCGCCCGAAACGCTGGCAAGGGCTGGCAACTGATGTCTTTCTCTGCCGATGGGAGTTTGTCTCAAGCGAGCCTGATTAGCAAACGAAAAAGTCGGATCAGCCCGTTGGACGCGAGGGGACGTACGACATTTTCATGGCCGACTGGAGGCGTTTCATATAGACCTTTGGGAGCGTATGAGATCAAGCCGGTTTTTCGCTTAAAGTAATCGACAGCTTTGCACTGGTTTATGGACTAGAGCCAAATTAACGCTGTCGAGGCGCCGTGTAAACACATCCGACGATTCATTCGAGATAGCTTCGTGAAATTGTCACAGTTGGGTGGGAAATCAAGGTTGGGGGGGGGCGGATTTTAGAACGAATGTGCCTGGGAGAGAGTGCTGTGAAGAGGCGAGACTTGATTAATGAAACGGTCATTCGGTGTGGCGAGGGCCAGATAAGGAGAGAAGAAAAAGATGAAACAGGCGCAAAGAGGAACCAGAGGCCCATACAGACGTGGGAATTCCAGAAAAGCCATTATTTTTCATTTAAAATTCGAGTAGGTTTCATCCCTGATATCAATATTGAGATGATTTATAAGTATATTGTCATGATACAATTGCAAATACATAATGAGCTCATTTCAATTATGAGTGAAAGTGTGTGGTCCCCACCAGACGATGACGAGAGACTTCTCCTGGCCTGCTGTCGGTTTGATTCCCGTAAAAACCCGCCAATCTTTCGTCTGTCGTATGGCGGACGTCTTCAAAACAGTATTCAAGCCAACGGATAGTCTATTAAAAATTGTTATCTGTTAGAGGCTAGATTCATTTGCAAATACAAGCGTATAGCCAAAATTCCCTGAGGTCATTGATCAAACTTGAGTTGGTATAAGAAATTTAATTTCCATCATGTTTACATTCGTAGTAGATTCGTTTATTGGCCTCTGTCGTGGTCATTAGTGCTAATTATGCCTTAATCTCCATTAGTGTTCTTCAGTATTACAGTCCATAGGGTCATTGCTCAAGGGAACGATCTGTCCGCAAGGTTCACCTCCATCGACAACGCTGCATTAAGCCATTCAGTAGGTCGTGAACAAGAAGCCGAATCATCTAAAATCACTTGATGTGACTAAATTGTGTAGTAGGCTTTACCATACCATTGTACCTCACTTAACCTCGTCTCCAAAGCGATATTTTAATTTAGCTAGATTGAGACTTCTAACCCGCCTAAGGTTCGCGTTGGCAGCCCTAACATGATTCGAAACCAGGTGCTACCACATTACTACTCTGTCAGACAGCCACGGATGCAAGAGGCCATAAGGCATCAATGACTCAAGTCAAGCTAGACTTATGCGAAGAAAAGTTGGGTTTCGAGGAATCTCTTGTTTCATAATTTTTAAGCTTACTTCCATTCCGAGTAAAAGTGTTGAGTGAAGAGATTCGAAGGTCGGTTGCACCAGAAGACGACGGCGGATTCCTCTTGACCAGCTGTCGATTGGCTTTACTGGAAATTCATGCTTACGCTGTTTCCGAGGCAATCTCTATCCATTCTGACGAAAAAGGTGCTAAGCTTTCGTCCGTCATATGACGAACATCATCAGAGCAAGGTAACATCGTCAAAACAAAGTTCACGCTAACGAGTCAAGAAAACTCACCGGTAAATCCCTATAGAGTGGTATATATACTCTACATCTGGCCTCTTTGATCAAGTATAAAGTAATTTGATTAGCTAAGGTCATATCTCAACTTCGATGCATGTGAGATGAGAAGCTGAGGATCATATCATTTGCAAATACGTGTAAAGGTAATTAATAATTTCGCAGAGAAGTCCTCGACTCATTGTCCTGCAACCTCGATGAAAATGTACTAGGCTTTCGTCTGTACTATGTAAAACATCATCAGATCAAGATTCCATACTTTTCTTGATCCGTTAGCTTGAATTTTGTTGTGACGATGTTACCTCGCTCTAATGATATCCGTCATATGACGGACGAAAGT